CTAAATTATTTCCATTATTTACGTGTTCCATGGACCTCTGTCCCTCACATTAACTGCAATCCACCAGGAAGAAACACTAATCTCTGTTATCTTTTCCTTAGGAGCTTGGACCAATCCAGCACTCCAGAAGACATCTAACACTCCTTAGAAGACACCACTGACACCAGAATACATGCTGTCCAACGAATCTGGTCAAGAGTAACTCGAAAACCAACTCATTTTATGAAGGGTATCACCACATCCAGACTAGCTGCTAATTACATTTCGACTAATGGCTGTTTCTTTTATTTCTTTCATTTTAAAGTAGAAAACTACGCAGAAATCCTATACCACATGACATCGTACCAAACACAGCCCCACACGTTCAACTCCAATGCAAGAATCAACACACACACACACAGACATCACGAGGCAGCATTACAACTATATACAACCAGCTTACTCAAGCTCAGACCACATAGAAGAAATCTAAACAGGATTGTACCACACAGACAGAAACTCGCGAAACCATCGACTCCGAAATTTCCACCGAAAACCATACAACGACCTCCCAGCATATACAGACAAGAACCAATGCAAGAAGAGGGGGGGGGACACAAACCGAACCTTCACCCTATAGGTACGGTTATGCAGACGAGATGCGTGGCACTTATTCACGGGAATCGTCCTAATTTTTTTGCCGACCCTCTCCTATCGACGATGACAACAATGACCTGATCGACGAATACAACTGAGCCTCTTTCAGCCGTTGTTTTCTCAATAAAACAACACTTCCGCGTTAGTTGTACAACATCCTATAATTGCATGAATTTTTATTAACCCTCTTTTTTTCTTTTCTTTCTCTCTCTTCGGGTTATCTTGTGAGCGGGTCAGGTGAACTTTGGGCGCCTTACTCGTGAAGGTGGGTTTTCTCGTGGTACACTCGTTCCCTCCCCCAACAACTAATTCTCGAGCAATGGAATTACTGATTCCAGCCCAGGTATAAGATTTACAAATTCGTGGCGTTTGGTTTATTGAGAATATGAGGAATCAATAATCTGGAACTATAACATCCAAGGCTTTCCCGAATCTCCTGACGTGACTTCAACCTTCATACCATTTGTGAAAACAATAATTTACACATCTATATAACATTTAATGAAAATAAAAAGACCGTTTTTGGTTTTTTTAGCATTTCATGATAATCCATACACCACAAGCGGGGCGAAGAGAAATCTGAAGATCTATGAACACCTCTGGTTATTTCAACCTAAACACCGACCACGAACTGACTGACTACAGATCATGCCTGAAGAAGTCAACCTAATAAATCGTTGTTAGCCTACCTATTATTAATCGTTTCACTTCTTATTACGTAAATATCTAAGCTTGGGAAACTCGAACAAATATGATATAATATTAAAAAATAAACAATTGTATTACTAGAAAGTTGAGTGTATGAAGAGAAATAGTTAAATTTATGGATAGCAAAATAGGAAAAATGTGCATTTGAAAGCCAGATGGCGCTTGTCTTCAGATTAAGCCATCGCATTTGATGGAAAGAGTAATAACTTTACAGCGGATGTTTGATATTATTTGCACGTGGATGGATTTTTATAGTTAAAATACTTGTATATGCTTATCAAGATGCAAGTCCTCACATCACGGATGACATGTTTAGTATCTAAATGTTTGTCACATAGTGAATGTAACTACCATTTGACAGTGCAATACCATTTCGGTAAATTTATGGTTGGGGTAAAGTCGTGTTTACTGGATCGATGTATTACAACCACAGAGTGGCACTTTTAACAGTTTACGACGTGTGTGTCTCTAGATTTTTTTTCATCAATATTTTTTGTTATTCGTTTACGTTATTTTTTATTATAATATTTTGTATATGACTTTTCTACGTAATAATAAAATGAAGTGGATAACGTGTACTCTTGACTTTCGATACTACCTTTGAAATATACGATATGCAAATAGGAGAGAGTGAAGTTTAGATTTTTATCGAAGATCTTAATTGTATGTTATTTAGGAGTCTTAAAATTGAATATTTTGTTCCCTCCTCCTCCAATTATTTAGTTTAAATCAAGGAAATGATGCGAAATAGAAAAAATGATAGTTTCTTAGAGAATCAAAAGGCTATTTGTGAAAGCTGTAATAAAATGTTTGGGATAAAATAACATATTTCAATGTATTTGTTTTAATTTTTTTAGATTAGGGCTCTCAGAGTTTGGTATCAGAAATAATTTTTAAGCATTTACGACTAGAATGTTTAATTTTTCTTTCGTAAAATACCCACTAGGTAGTATTTATTCTGATCCATTTTCACAATCATGCTGTTAGAATCCCCATCACACCAACATGCTCGCCCTATCATCCAAGAGTTGGCGGTGGGTGGTGATGACTAGCTGCCCTCCCTCTAGTCTTACACTGCTAAATTGGGGACGGCTTGCGCAGAAAGCCCTCGTGTAGCTTTGCGCGAACTTAAAACAAAACAAAACAGTTCTTACTAATTAAGACCACATTCACTTGTATTTTTTCTATCTTTCTTGTCAGTAAAGATTAGCTTGTTGTTTGCTAATGTCATATTCTTTTATTTCACATTTGTATTTTGAATTTTTGTCAAGGCTAATACGGCTATCTGTAGTCATTCCCAATTTGGAACTACTGATCAGAGGAAAGTCAGTCACTCAGCAACACCTTACCACACAACATTCACGTTAAAGGGATTGACACTCTACTAATAATTCACTCACAGCATCAAGTGCGGGAAATATTTTATGGTATAGCTCTATAACACAGGGCCAATACGGGCTCGATGTTTCATTTTTTCTTTCTGAGATAGGTTTTAAAAGCTAATTTTGTAATTGGATCCCGATTTGGTTCATTGCAGTGTGTTGTTGGTGTCCAGTCGATAAGAGGTAACATATTTGAATAAACCAAAAATATCTTTACCAGTTATATAAACAATTGTTTGGGCTGAACATGTGTCATTTTCGTTTCTTTTTTAATTCAGTTTTGTTATCAGTAACTATGAAATTAAACCTTAAAACGTTTATTACGTATTAGAATTTCGAATGGTCTGAAACCGAGCTAAATGATACTTTAGATTTAGCAGTTAAATTGTACTTTGGATTTAGCAGTTCAGTAAAAGCCGATATATAGACAGTTTATGATATTTGCCAACAAGATTGATACACCCAGTTTTATTTTTTAACACAAATACATTTTAATATACACACACAATACAATTTACAATAACGGTTATTACAAATAATTATTACAAACAATGATTTATAAACAAAAGTTTCACAAACTTACAAGCGATATCAGGTTTTTTTATAGTCTGGAACTTCCTTGATATCTTATCGAGGGT